GTTGATTATTTCTGAGTCCGAGATCGTGACTCTCTGCCAGATAACTTGATGTAACGATAGCTAATCAGTGAAACAGAACGACCACATGCCATGCTTGCCTGGCCACATTGAATCGTCTCTACTTCCACGTCCATCCGCCATGTTTCTGTTTAGAAGCTGAAATCAGAATAGTATACTATTTATGCGAACATATGGGTGAAGGTATGCATTGGAGCACTGTTCTAAATTCTCGTTGTCTCTTCGGAGTTTTGAAAGTAGCGATCGTTTATACAAAATTAAATGAATATGTGGTTGATGTTAGTAGCGCACATTTCGTTGAACTCTTCAAAGAACTTAACAAATGAGTTAGTTTACTCAAGCGCCGGTGTTTTGACAAAATAAAAAAGTTTTTTTTTAAATTTTGTCATTATTTGCACGATTTTGAAAAAGAAAATAATATAAGCACTGTGATCATATATGCAACACTTAATCGCTTGTTTTTCTTTGTTAAGATGCTATGAGAACAAAAAGTTACCTTCTTTAACACAAAATCAGAATTTGGAAGCAAAGCAAATGGGTCCATGATCATCTTGAGGATTATTTCATAATATTAAGCTAAACCTTTTCCTGGAATAAAAACAAATCCCCTGATACAGCGTCCTAGCATATCACGACATTCCTGATGACCGTATGATTGGAGTCAATGTTTCGGTCTATTATTTCGAAGAAAAATAGTGAGTGTAAGTTTTAAATCGAAGTTTTGCCGGCTTCCCCCTCCTTTCTCCCCATTACAATCGTAACAAGTAGTGCTATATTGTAGCTTATGAACAGAGTTTCCACCTCTTCCACTTTTTGCCGAAGGTTTCCGCTTTTTCGGACAAAAGACTTTCATTTGATTATTCACAATTCGACATAGAAAAAAAAACTGTTATTGTTCAATAAATCGTGATCACTGACGTATATAGTCTGTCATCACAGTTATTAGCCAATCTGTTAACTTACTGGAACAACGTTAAATTTTTTGCTATGAACGAGAGACTACTTTCAATTTCTATTGATGAAGTAAAAACACCATTCTACGTTCAAGTAATAGCTAACTCTGCTGACCCATTTGTTTTTCCCTGCTCTATTGACACAGAAAAAGGACACAAATCCGAAAATTTAAACCACTTTTCTGTAACAAATGCATAAAACTGGATAATAACTGAGGATGAAAACAATGATGAAAATTGAAAACAGCAATAATAATGCTACAATCAGATGAACATAAATCTATTTCAGCCACAAAGGGGCTGCACTGACAAGCTTTTTTTTAGATCAAGTTTTTAGGTGTTTTTTTGTCGAAGAGATATACGCTATATTGCAAAGAATTCATTATTAGTGACAAATAGTGAGAAGATTTTGCGAAGAACCACTTTAAAACCGGAGTATATTTCAAGGTCTCAATATTTAAGAAAAAGTTTATAGAAGTGTATGATTTTCTAAAACGACATTTCAAGTTTTCTTTCCACATTGTCTTATATACAAGGTGTACATCAGATAGCTTAAATTACTGCATAAAAATCGTAAAGAAAAATTCATTATGAAAAATAATTTAGTGCAAACCAAGAATTTAAACAAGGATAGAGTTAGTTTCAAGGACAAACAACAACGACTGACTTAGACTTCGCTCAAATATCGATCTTTTAGTATGTTAAAACTGATCAGATAATAAAAAGTGCGATTATAGACGTGTGTACCTATGAGAGTGGGAGTTAGTCTGAGTTAAGAAGAAAAGTACATCTACCTTTACACATTGTTCAGGTAACAGAATTAAATGATGGGAGCCTCATTGATTTTCTTCTGCTCGTTGTTATAGTTTCTTCATCAGAATTTCTTTTTATTCATTAAGGAGATTGCGCCTTTCATCAAAGAAACGAAAGGCATTGCAAATCGAATGTAACAGTTGGTAAAATTATGATATATTCATAAATAAATATAAAATATCGTTCATAAGCGTTTTCGAATGTACTTCATTAACATTTTTATGCATTTATTAACAAATTTCTTACAATGTTGCACTACAAAAAAAGTAGACTTTTGCAATTGACAAAAATCAGACACTGCTGAACTATCAACAAAAAACCCATTCATTGCTAGCTTTATTGCTATATTGAAAATTGGTATCGTTTCCAAAATAGTTCAAATAATATTCGTAAATATTTCTAAATTCTGAAGCTCCAACCAAAGTAAAAGTTTTATTAATAGCATTCTTTGTAATACCACATTGAATTAATGATTTAAATATGTTCATTGACTTAACACTGGTATAATTGCCCACAATACCAATGCCTATAAGAAAACAAAACAATATGATTTAAAATCTCGAAATGCTAAATTGAAAAGCAATAGAAAACTTCAGCAATAAAATCCTTATATAATCATACACATTGAAATTTATCTAAGATTTTAATTACTTCTAATAAAACTATAACGAGCTCAAAATCAAATTGATAAAACACTAAGATCTGTTATTCTAGGAAGTCGAAAAAAAGAAGTTTTCTTACTTAATGATCTGTCATTGTAACCTCTACAATGTGCACCAATATATTTTCATCCTCTACCTTGATAAATTTCTTGTTGGTCATGATTATCATTACATATGATAAAATTATAACAAATATCAGACCAGCCTAATGTATACATGTGATGATGTTGAAATCCTTTTATTTGTTTAATACAATCTTGTTGATTCCTAGGTGAATAAGAATCATTTATTGGTCATATTACAATATGCGTAACCGGAAATGTTTTTAAATTATCATGATCTCTAGACGGACGTGCATTCCAGCTCGATCGATTTACTATATTGGGACAACCTATAAGAAATGAACATTAACCATGGTTATTTGATACTTGTTCATCAAAGAATGAGTTTTAGCATTGTTTTGAAAATAATAGTTTACCTCTAACTATATCCAGTTTTATGGAAGTGTTAACTACATTATCAAATTTACATATTTTTTCAAGGTTCATGAAATACAGAATTAGTGAAATTGACTGCTCTCCACTCCTTGTGATAACTACCGAGAAATTACCACCGGAATTTTCTTTAGAAAGTACTATGTCATAGTGTATTGTATCAAAATGAGGAATATTAAGTTTATTAAAATTGACAGAAGTGAATCATTCACGATGATTCGAATTTGGATAGAAAACAGTCTCTGCAATCATTTATAGATGGAACCAAAAATTGTAAGCGGTACCGCTGCTTCTGATTAGTACCATAGTGTACCGATAGCAGCGCAAACAATCGTGTGGCATAAGCCATCTAAACTCGCAATTAATGATGGAGCCAGGAATCGGGCTAGTTGGATCTCAGATCCAGGTTTCGCTACTGCTCACAGTCAGTGATTATACGTGCCAGTACGAAAAGAGTGAATTTTAATCAATTTGCTTAGAAGTCAGGAAAAACATTTCGTAGAACTTTCGACATTTTTGTGGGTGTGAGTGTGAGTGTGGGGTGTCGGTGTGAATGGGTGGGTGTGGGTCCACAGAGCATTAACATCCACATCCACACCCTTAAAGTACTTCCAAGTATTTTAAGGTACTTTAAAGTATTTTAAGGTACTTTAAAGTATTTTAAAGTACTTCCAAGTATTTTAAAGTACTTTAAAGCACTTTAAAGTATTTTAAGGTACTTTAAAGTATTTTAAGGTACTTTAAAGTATTTTAAAGTACTTCCAAGTATTTTAAAGTACTTTAAAGCACTTTATAGTATTTCAAAGTACTTCATTGTACTTTATGGTACTTTAAAGTACTTTACGTACTTTATGTACTTTAAAGTACAAAAGTACGATGTTTCCCCCTTGCATTTAACCGTCCGCTCCCTCGCTCCTAATGAAAAATCTAGTTTCTTCTAACTAGCTGCCAGATATCGTAATGCTGAGCAGGTAGTCATAGTGCTCATAAAAGAGGGCATGTATCTTCCTTTTAGTAACACACACATCTCACACCCACACTCTGTGGATCGTTATCTTCGAGAGTCGGAATCTGAGGAACGTTATTCAATCGAGGTAATTAGTTCTTGATTGATCGAATCAAGACAGAAATAAAAGACATAAAGGTATCGAGTTACCGCTCTCCGATTTCCAATTTATATATTGTCTTGTGCGAAACACTGACTTCATGTAACGCCGTTTGCGCGACACCATAGGTCCACATCCACCCCATTTATTGACTCTAAAAACTAATCAGTCTTATTCTATGAGATATATGTATTTAAAACGTATATAGCCTGAAAAGAAAGAATTGTTGAAATCTTTTGAATCTCATCTGATATTTTTCATTCGTCAAAATTAATTAATGTCAATTAAACAAATATAGGAATGAAGAATAGACAAACAATCCAACAAATGCAAAGAAAACCTTTCATTTATATTTATGCATATTAATTAATATTTATTTCGGGTAAATGTATAAAAATAAAAAATAAATGTAACAATATTTAATTATTTTACATTCATAGTCATCAATATTATTTTCGATACAATGTGTTGTTCTTGATCGATAAGATTCATTTCCATTTACTAGTTCATAATGATTATTACTATTATATTATTGTTTGTAATAATAAAAGAATACAACGATGCACATTATTATAGCTTGAATTGAGGGTGTGGGTGTGGCTGAGTGTGGGCGTGTGTGAGGAAACACACCCACACCTAATCCCCTCCCCCTTATATTGTTTTTCGTATTCCATTACTTCATCATCATCAACAGAATGTTTATCTGTATTGTGGTAGTGGATTTCATAAATCTCACTATCTTCACTACCGACATAACGTGTTTTTAATGTCACAATCATAACTTAATCGAATACACAAAAGAATTGATATTTGTTTTGTTCCTATCCTTCTAGGATGAATATATCGAAAGAAGCTGCTGTTGACAAAATCAAGGAGAGTAACATTCAACCCATTGATGGCAATACAGATGCCATCAATGAATGCATGCGCTGTCATTTGCACAAGTTGGCGAAGATGGCTACAATCAAGTCAAAGAAAAACAATGCTATAGTTGCTGCACACCCAACCAAATTAGCATTTGTAATTTTCTTTGACAATGGAAGTAAGATAAAAAAATTGCTTAGACTAATCTATCTATTATTTTAGTCATCGAGCAGAAGAGACCAAAGACACATCCGGCATCTCCAGTTGTACAACCTCGCTCACCGGTGACTCCGACGTCGTTACCATTGGTTTCAACTCCTCCAGTGATTCCAACACCTTCACCAATTTTACCACCTGTTCCACCAGTCTTACCTAGTCTACCTGCGCTACCAAGTTCACCTACTCCATCTCTCTTATCTCGACCATCAACTTTACCATCTCAATCACCAGCTGCTCAAGTACCAATTCCAGGCAAATTATCAATTATCCACTCACCTTTCTCACAATCGTATATGCAACAATAGTGTCATTCAATATAATCATAGACAGTCTTCTTTTATTATCAACACTATTAAAATTTTATGTTTCAGGTCCATCTGCACAATAAACTCCACCAACAATTACTAAGGATGCTCTATCGACCCTAACTAAAGTCATGGACCGGTGAATCATAGTCTTCTATGTTAATATGTCGTTTATAATTGACAATTTACTTACTTTAGGTTGAATGTCTCATCTAACTCATCCATATCAGATGAAGTTCGTGTTTGTACAATCAACCGAGTGAGTAGAAGTTCGTCTCTCTTCTAAACAAGAAAGAAATCTTTGTTCTAGAAAAATCAATATTTTACGTGTGTAAATGAATTCTTTTCAAAATCACAACATTCGAAAGTCTTCTGTTTCTGCAAAAGAAAAATACGTGTGACAGAAAAAAATTCTCCTAACTAAGCTTGTGACAGCTCCAGTTCTACACCTCACAACATCAGAAACAAAGACATGGTACAGAGCTTCAGCTTCTATGTGGTGGGCTAAATTACCAGCTCACATCTTCTGATCCTATTACTATCGATAGAAACGGGGTGTGGGTGTGGGTGTGGGTGTTCTGTTCACTCACGCCCAACACTCACACGCACACACCCTACATATCGTCGTTGATTCTTGTGAAGATTGTCTTTATTGATGGTTGTTTTATTCAACTTAATGCAATTCTATGTTACCATTTGTTCGTCAAATGTATCTACGTTACCAGTGATCAATAATAAAGTAAATGAATCCTATTAATATGTTTTGATTAAATGAATAATAGTTACATTCATTAAATACTTTTTGTTTTGTAGAAAAAACTTCAAAATTTAAAATATTTTGTGCTAACTCATAAATCAGTGTTATTGGTGCGTAGGATATCTT